GCAGAGACCTGAGCCGGCGAGGCGGCGAGGTCCTTTGCGCGCCGGGACCAAATCACCTGCAGGCCGAGGGAGGGGCCGGCGAGCGCGGGGGTGAGTGGGGTGCAGGGGGCTCGGCGCTGAAGGCTCCGCAGAGTCGCGACACCCCCGCAGCGCCAGGCTCAGGACCGCATTCTTTGGGGCGGGCTCTCGGGAAGGGCGGGGAGTGATGGAGCCAAGCCGGGACTTTCTGGGACATCCCAAGGGCGCCTGGAAAATGGGTCACGGCAGGGGGAGGCTTAATTTAGCCACTGGGGCGCGAGTGCCCCCCGCGGGGAGCGTGTCGGAGAGCCCGGGTCGGGCAGGCAGGCCCTCCCTGCTGCCCCGCGGGGCAGGGGGCCGCAGCCGGCTCCTGCCCGCGACCTCAGTGGCCCAGGATGGCCGAGGTCTTCCCCGGCGGTCCGCGGGAAAGTAGCCAGGGGCAGGACCCTCAGAGTAAGGCAAAGGCAGGCGCTGCCTGTGTGCTGGCCCCTCTTGGCTCCCCTCATTCCGACCCCCCCCACTTTGCAGACCCTGCTCCCTGAGCTTGTAAGGGAGCCCAGGTCCCTGCTCATCTGGCGCCCCCCCTCCAGAAGGGAGTGGGGTGGACCCTCCCTCAGGAGGCCACGCCAGCGGGGGGGGGGGGGTTTCCTTCAGGCCCCATGGTGACCCCCTGCCCCCACCCGGCCCCTTCTGTGCAGGGCTGCAGGGCCCCCAGTGGCCCAGGAGCTCCGGAGGACGAGGGTGTCCAGCCCCCACCCCCGGCCCAGCCAGCCTGCCTGGGAGGAGGCCCAGCTGCCGCCCACGTCGCGGCCAAGCCTCGGCCATGGCAGCCCGGCTCGCCCTGTTCCTGGTGGCCCTGGCAGGGCTCCCTCTGGGTAGGTGGCGGAGGCGGGGTGGACAGACCCGTCAGGCATCAGGCGGGGGCCTGGGGCGGGCAGGAGGGGGCCAGCGCTCCAGCTGCCCTCCCGGCTGCCCGCCTGGGGGCGGGGCGGGCAGTGGGCTGCGCGGGCCGAGCGGGTGGTGTGACCCTGTGCCCAGCCCAGGCCCTGGACTGCCACGTGTGCTCCTACAACGGAGAAAACTGCTTCAACCCCCTGCGCTGCCCAGACATGGTGGCCTACTGCATGACCACGCGCACCTGTGAGTCCCGCGGGCGCGGTCCACCCTGCGGGGCGGGAGCTGGGCCTCCGCAGCCTCTGGGGCCCCAGCTCAGCTCTCTGCCCTGCAGACTACACCCCGACCAGGCTGAAGGTGAGCAAGTCCTGCGTGCCCACCTGCTTCGAGACCGTGTACGACGGCTACTCCAAGCACGCGTCCACCACCTCCTGCTGCCAGTACGACCTCTGCAACGGCGCGGGCCTGGCCGCCCCCAGGGCCCTGGCCCTGGCCCTGGCCCCCACACTCCTGGCCACCCTCTGGGGGCTGCTCTGACCCCCCACCCTGCCCGCTCTCCCCGCACACCCCAGGCCTCTGCCCCAGGCCCCTCCCCCAGGGCCCTGCTCCCAGGCTTTCGCCGTGGGCGCTGGGCAGTACGGGGCAGCGCTGGTTGGCTCAGTGGGCGAGGGCGGGGAGCTCGGCCCGCCTCTGGCCAAGGATAGCCCTCTTCGGTCCCTGCGGTCACTGGCCCGAAGGGCGCCTGCCCAGCCTGCCTGTCTGTTGTGTGGCCAGGCCGGGAGGTGGGGCCACGGGAGGCCAGGGCAGGCCTGGCAGGGAGAGCCGTCCCTTCCCACCCCAGGGTACCTGGCGTCCGACTGTGGCCGAGTCGTGGGCACGGAGGGTCACAGAGGCAGGCCCGGCCCCCGTCACCATCCCCGGAGGCACGGTCCAGCCTGCCCTGGGGGGCTCCCAGCCGCCCAGAAGCTGGTCAGTGCGACGGTGATGTCCTCTTGCTCAGCCAGGTCCCACAGGCGGCTGGCCACAAAGCTGTCTCTACCTCCGGCCTGCTGACAGCTGACCCCACGGCTATTTTGGGCCAGGAGGGAAGGAGCAGTCTCACCCTGCTTCCCGCTGGCTGCAGCCTGGGCGCCTGGGGAGTGCTGTTTGCGGGGGCCAACTGCAGCCCCCAGAGTCAGGCTAGCCAGGCTCATGGTCTCTCGGCCACAAGGGCACTCAACAAGGGGGGGGGGGAGCTGCCGGGGCTTGGGGGAGCAGGCTGGGGGTAAGGAGAAGGGGGGGAGCCACAGGGAGGTGGGGAGCGGGCAGCGCGAGGGGGCGTGGGGGACGAGCCAGGCACCTGCGGCTCCCCAGTCCACCTGCCTACCCTTCCGGGTCCAGGGAGCCAGCTGGCCTTGCCCAAAAGCCCTCAAGCTCCCAGGCCCAAAGGGCACCTGCCGGCTCCCGGGGCGGGCGGTGGGCGGGCCAGGGCTAGTGGGCCCACCTCTGGGCTCGTGGCCACACTCCCTGTCCCCAGGCAGCCTGCTTGTCCCTCGGGCGGTGGCCCTCAGCGGACACCTGCGTGGCAGGGCCCGACACCTGGGTCGGGTCAGCAGCTGTGCCCGCTCCAGGCACGGGAGGGAGCGGGGTGCATCCACTCCCGTGGCCGCTGACCTGCCACGCTTGGGGGACAGTGGAGGGACTGGGGCGCCCCCTGCCCCGGCCCACAGCCAGCCCTGACCCGCATCGCACCTGCAGGCATCCGCTGTCTCCTGGGTCTCCTGGCCACTGCAGGCGGCAGTCCGTGGTGGCCTGCCTCCTGGGCCCGCGCGAGTCCCCTCCCGCCACCCGCTTCCCAGCCCCAGCTCCCGGGCGCCCGCCCGCCCGCGCCCCCTGCCCGGAGGACCGAGGGAATAAACAGTCGAGAAGCCTCTGCCTGCTCCATGTCGCCGCGACGCCACCTGCTGGCTGCACCCTGCCCTGCCGGCCCTGCGGGTCCCCAGCCCGCTCAACCGGCCCGGGTGTGGACCTGGGAGGGGAGGCGGCTGGCCGGGCAGGATTCCCCAGGCCCCCTGCGGTGCCCAGTGTCCAGGGAAAAGGGGCCTCACCAGCTCAGCCGGGTGAAGGAACCCCACCCGCTGCCAGCCCCTGCCCCAGCCCTACGCCCCCCGCCCCGGGCCTGAGCCCGCCCACCCGCTCCAAGCGCCCACCAGGCAGGCAGAGGCCTGGGCATCGCCCGTCTGCCCTGCCCAGCCCCAGGCTGGCGGGCTCTCTCAGGGCGCCCCTGCGATGCCAGGCTGTGAGCCGCCTGCCCACCCCTGCAGGGACCGTCCCTGCCGGCCTCCCAGCGCCGGGCCGCACACACAGCCTCTGTGGGGTGCCGTCGGCCAGGGCCCCTGGGGGCACAGGCTCTGGCCCCACCTGCCCCAAGCTCCACTGGCATGTTTGGGGCCAAGGGGGGCTCTGCCCCGATGGGCACCCAGAAGCTGGCTCATTGGCCCTGTGGCCCAGGTCCTAGCACCAGAGATTGTCCTGCTGCAGGGACAGACTGGCCCTCAAGCCTTGGGGTCAAGCTGGACCCCAACCTGGAGGCGGGGCCTGGCTGGGGCGGAGCCTGGCCAGGGGCGGGGCCTGGATGGGGCGG